AGAGCAAACTCACTTCTAAAGACATTTGCTTTCAATCTAAACTTCTTCCCAAAAAGAGGGGCTCCTCTCTCCATTTTACCTCTCAGCACATAAAGCAAGACAGAGTGACTAAGAAGACCAGGAAAAATACCATGAAGTGTTATGTAACTCAAGCTTGATGTTCCAAAGAGAATTTGTGTCAGATAACTTGACAGAGCCTTGTCTGGAAGCAAAGGCTAAAGTCGTGATTCTTTGAATCCCTAATGAAAATGCCTAATTATTTGTTTCTGTTCCCACACAAATCAGTTTCTCTGGGGAGTGCCTTTGGCATGCTCCAAGGGCACAGCTTCCTCAGAGAATTGGGCTTTTACGGCAAGAATCTTCGGTGTAAGAGTGGGCGTATTGTGGAGGGGGAAAGCAAAAGCTAAGACAGTAATTTATTTTGAAAAATAGTACTTAAGGAAAATTATGTTCCCATCACTATAGAGTAGATTTATTTAATTCTCTGCTCTGGGTCATGATGGATCTGATTACTAAAACTTAATACTTATCCCAGTTGTTTCGTGAGATTATAATTCAGAAACAAAAGATAGAATCTCTAGATAAATCTTATTGTACCTTTACGAAAAGTGTAAGAGCAACAAAAACCATGAAACCTTGCCGTGGTGGCTGGGAAGGTCCCTTGGCTCAGTCCTTCTGCCTTGAAACTACAGGGAATCCTGATCCTGCCCCAGCCTCGTGGGGCGTACTTTGGGGAGAGAAGCAGAGAGAGGCCAGAGCTATGTCAGTAACTGTTTCTATACACAGCTGCACTGGAAGGAATTGAAAGCTACTGGAACTCATAAGTGACATGAAATAGGTTGCAGGGCACAAGTTCAAATGCAGAAATCAACTGTATTTGTATGTACTAACAATGAAAAAAATCCAAAAATGAAATTTAAAAAACATGTACATTTAAAATAACATCCAAAAAAGCTACTTAGAAAAAAATGTAACAAGTTATGTGAAAAATCTAACACTAAAAACGGCAAAACATTATTGAGAGAATTTAAATAAGACATACACAAATAGATATGTCATGTTAATTAATTAGAAAACTCATTTAAGATGGCAGTTCTCCCCAAACTGATCTATAAATTTTTTTAATGGGCAATTTCAATCAAAACACCAGCAGCCTTTTAAAATAGAAATTGACAAGCTAATCCTAAAATGTATGTGGAAATTCAAAAGACCTAAAACAGCCAAAATGGTGTTGTAAAAGAACAGAGTTGGAGGACTTAACATTACTAATTTTAAGACTTACTACCACCTGGCTAGCGTAGCTCAGTGGTTGAGTATTGATCTATAAACCAGGGAGTCACTTATCAAGTATCAGTCAGGGCATATGCCCAGATTGCGGGCTCGATGGCCAGTGTGGGGTGTGCAAGAGGCAGCCAGTCAATGATTCTCTCTTGATATTTCTACCTCTCCCTCTCCCTTCCTCTCTGAAATCAATTGAAAAATTTAATTAAAAAAATACTACCAACTTTTAATAATCAAGACAGTATGGCATAGGGATAAACATAGATCAGTGGGACAGAATTAAGAGTCCAGGAACAGACCCACATGTGTATGGCCAGTTTCAACAACAGTATTAAGGTAACTCAATGGAGAAAGAATAGTCTTTTCAATAAATGTGCTGAGGAAGTTGCATATCTTTATGGAAAAAGGTAAAACTTGACCTTTTCCTCATACCAGCCCCCAAAATTAACTCAAATGGATCTTAGACCTAAATGTAAGTACTATAAAACTTTTAGAAGAAAACTTTAAGGAATATTTTTGCCTTTGGGCTAAGCAAACATTTTTTAGAAAACATAAAAAAGCATGAATGCTGAAAGGAAAAAATTGATTAATTGGACATCAGCAAAAAAATGCTTAAGAAAATTAAAATGCAAGGTACAGTTTGGGAGAAAATATTTCAAAGACCTATAGTTGACAAAGGACTTGAATCAAACAGTTTTTTAAATCTCTCATTCTTATAAAAGAATAAAACTCAATGGAGATGTAAAGTACAGCATAGGGAATATAGTCAATAATATTGTAATAACTATGCATGGTGTCAGGTGGGTATGAGACTTATCCAGAGTATCACTTAATAATTTTATAAATATTTAACCACTATGAAACTAATATAAAATAATGGTGAATGTCAACTGTAATTTAACTTTTTTAAAAACAATTGAAACTAACAAGACATACAACCCAATTTTATAAATGGGCAAAATATTTGAACAGACACTTCAAAGGAAGATATGCAAGCAGCCAACAATTGCATGAAAAGATATCTAACCTCATTAGAGAAATGCAAATCTGAAACCATAATTAGATGTCACTACACACCCACTAGAGTAATTAAAATTAAGAAGACTGATAAAAACCAAGTATTGGTGAGGATGTAGAAAAATTAGAGCCCCTAGCCCAGGGGTGGGCAAACTTTTTGACTCGAGGGCCACAATGGGTTCTTAAACTGGACCGGAGGGCCGGAACAAAAGCATGGATGGAGTGTTTGTGTGAACTAATATAAATTCAAAGTAAACATCATTACATAAAAGGGTACAGTCTTTTTTTTTTTTAGTTTTATTCATTTCAAACGGGCCGGATCCAGCCCGTGGGCCGTAGTTTGCCCACGGCTGCCCTAGACATTGCTCTTGACCATGTAAAATAGAATAGCCAATTTGGAAAACAATTTAGCAGTTTTTTAAAGTTAAACATGCACTTACCATTTACCCAGCAATTCCACGCCTAGGTATAAACCCAAGAGAAATGAAAATAAAAGGCCATACAAAGACTGTTGCACAAATATTCCTAGCGGCACTATTCATAACAGTCAAAAACTAGAAATAACCCTTCCAGCTAGGATGAGTGTCTACCTATGAACCAAGAGGTCACAGTTCCATTCCCGATCAGGTATCAATCCCCAGTAGGGAGCGTGCAGGAGGCTGCTAATCAGTGATTCTCTCTCATCGTTGATGTTTCTATCTCTCTCTCCTTCTCCTTTCCTCTCTGAAATCAGTAAAAATATATATTTTTTTAAAAAGTAGTTTCTAACGAATTAAAAAAAAAACTAGAAATAACCCAAATGCCCATCAACTGGTGAATGAATAAATAATTGTCCCCTAAGCCCTCTGATAGCCCCAAAGGTTTGCATGCACTCCCGACCTTGCCAGCCACTCACCACTTGCCTTTAGGGTCGTGCCTCCTGATTACTTAAACTACCATGTCCCTCACACAAGAGGAGAAATCTTGGAGGCCCTAATCAAAGGCCTTCGGACATTGGAGTACAGATATGATTCTGCTAGTGTGGGAGCTGATGAAGGCAGTGACAAAGATTGGGAAGCCAATGCCTGCAAAAGCCAGCTCATTAAGAAGAAAGGAAAGCAACAGCACTGGGTGAAGAAGTTCACAAACAGGCTATGGATTTGGATATAGAATTCAATGTGCACCTTGGAATAGCTCATACCCGTTGGGCGGCACATGGTGAGCCCAGTCCTCTCGATGGCCATCCCCAGCGCTCTGGTAAAATAATGAACTTCTTGTTATTTGCAATGGAATCATCACCAACTACAAAGACTTGAAACCTTTTTTTGGAAAGCAAAGGCTATGACGTTGAAGCTGAAACAGATACAAAGACAATTGCCAAGCTCCTTAAATACGTGTATGACAACCGGGAAAGGGGAGATACCAGTTTTACTACCTTGGTGGGGAGAGTTATGCAACAATTGGAAGGTGCTTTTGCACTTGTATTAAAAGGTGTTCATTTTCCTGGCCAAGCAATTGGCAGGAGATGAGATAGCCCTCTGTTGGTTGGTGTGCGAAGTGAACATAAACTCTCTGCTAATCAAATTCCAGTACTCAACAGAACAGGCAAAGATGAGAGAGGAAGCTGCAGTCTCTCCCGTGTGGGCAGCACAACTTGCCTTTTCCCTGTTGAAGAAAAAGCGGTGGGGTATTACTTTGCTTCTGATGCAAGTGCTGTCATAGAGCACACCAGTCATGTCATCTTTCTTCAAGATGATGATGTAGCCCAGGTGGTGGGTGGCCGTCTTTCTACCCATTGAATTAAATGAACGGCAGGGGATCGCCCTGGAAGGGCTGTGCAAACTCCAGCAGATCGTGAAGGGCAACTTCAGTCCATTTACGCAGAAGGAAATTTTTGAGCAGCCAGAGTCAGTTGTGAACACAATGAGAGGAAGTCAACTTTGATAACTATACTGTGACTTTGGGTGGTTGCCGTGAGGGGCAAAAGACTGGTGTGAAAGAGATGTCAATATTCTAACAAAGTGTTTTATTGAAAATTTATATTTAGCAACTAATACATAGTCATTTGCTTCCATGACAGTGTTAAGTTACTTTGGGTAAATTCAGCAACATGAATTCCTAAAGCCACCTTTTACTTTGCGATAAGGAAAGTGTGTCAAAGGATGCTGCTGTCACAGTGGATGGAATTGAGCACTTGTGTCCACACAGGTTTGAGTAAACCAACAATCACAGTTCACAATTAACTCATAGTTTTGTTTTTTTAATGCAAAAAAAAAGCAATAAATTACTATCCCCAAAGAGTGTGATTTTAAATCTCTTTCTTAAGTAGCAGAACTTATTATAGGCACGTGTTCTCATTGCTAAAGTGTCAGTGCCACTAGTAAAGTTATTGAATACTAAGAACTTTAAAATTATTAGCTAAGTGTATTTTTGGTTAATGAATGTCATTAACTTTTGACTTGCAATTTTTATTTTGGAGAACTTCCTGGAATGATAAGGGTGTTTGACAGGTTAATTTGCATGATGATGACATACATGCATCCATTTTTCATCACACAGAACTCAAGATCTGGGCATTTTCCCGTGTGTCAAGTAGACTTCCACAAGGAAAATAATTCATGCGCTACCTGCAAACTTGGGGGAGCAGTTTCTTTTTACTTTTAACTTTTTGAAGGTCTATATAACACATGCATTCTCTCATTTGTAACTTTTTCAAATTTTAGGAGTTCTTTGATCATGTGAAGAAACTTTGGGACGATGAAGGCGTGAAGGCGTGCTTCGAGAGGTCGAACGAATACCAACTGATCGACTGCGCACAATAGTAAGTCTGCCTAGTCAGGCCCAGGCCTCTTTGAGGCTAGGATTGCACCGCAGGGGTGCTGCCCTCCCAGGGTCAATGACGTCTCTCGAATGCTAGGGACAAATATTAACGTCTCACTACAGAAATCAGCTTTCAAAATGAGGCACATGTAGGAGATAGAAAATTGAAATCCAGTAGGAATCAGTGTTTGGGGGAAGAATCAGAAGCATGTGGTATTATTTTATCCTGACCATTGTTTTCAGTTCTATTTATGTTTACTTCTATAGGGTTATAGGCATAGTGTAAATTATAATGTAATGGGATATTCATTATTATAGTTTACTTTTGTAGCAGGGACTCCAAATTAAAATAATAGCAACACTGCAATCAAGCTCAAGCTCTTACTTAAAGTAAAAAGTGATACACAGAAGTGAATTAGGACCCTGAGAGTAGATGATGATTAATGATAAGTAAATATTTGGTGAGAAATGTAATGAAGAGAAATAGAAATAAGGAAAAGACTCTGGTGCCGAGGCTGGCTGATTGCTTTTCCCTGAAATTCCTTGGTATTTTAGATTCATTCTATGACTATTAGAGAGTAATGGTCCCCCAGGAAAATGTTAATCAAGAAGTTCTAGATATGTTTGCTAGTTTGATAACAAAAACTGTGTTCAACTAATCGTTTTATATGACTCTTTGGGCAGCAAGAAATCAGCACTTTTATATTTTTAGTCTGTAAACTTTAAAAATTCATACATGTTGAAGGGATTCCATAAGCATAAAATCTGAGAATTCACAGTATTTGGAACCAACTAATGGAACTACGCTGTCAATACAGATTTCAAGGAGAAAGCAGTTGTGTGGCCACCAGCAGCCCTTTCTCATACTTAGGAGTTCGGGTACCATCACCATGTGACAGGCACTGAGAGGGGCCAATGGCAGGGCCCAAGGAGGAGGCACTGGGTGTGTCCCAGGCACTGACAGGAAGCCAGTCTGGTAGCAGATAGGTGATGGAAGAGTGGCCATAAACAGCTGAGAGGTCGCTGTGGCCAGACCCTTCCGAGTGCTTGCCAAGGAACTTGGATCTTCCGAATGCAATGAGTACCCAGCAGCTCCATGAATGAGGCTCTCAGGGTCACTCTGGCTGCTGTATGGAGAATTAACAAAAGGAGGCAGAGACCTGAATGGGGGTCCTTGGGTCAGGTGGTGGCCATAGAGGTGAGCTTTGGGCCTTGAGTTCTGAAGGGACAGAGGTAGGAGGTAGATTGAGTGAGGGCAGCAGTGGAAAGGGGGCAGGGATGAAGGATGATAAAGCAGTGGGGCATGGAGCCATTTATGGAGATGGAAAAACCTGGGAGATGTTGTTTATGGGAGAACAGAGGAAGGTATCAAGCTCCGATTTGGAAAAGTTAAGTTTGAGACGCCAACATGATATCTAAGGGGCTCAGTGGTTGAGCATCAAACTATGAGCCAGGAGGTTACAGTTAGATTCCCAGTGAGGGCACATGCCCAGGTTGCGGGCTCAGTCCCCAGGAGGGGTGTGCAGAAGGCAGCCTATCAATGTTTTTCTCTTATCATTGATGCTTCTGTCTTTCTCTCCCTCTCCCTTCCCTTCTCTTCATTGAAATCAATAAAAACATATCTTAAAAAAAAGAGAAAGTAGATTAGTGGTTGCCAGGGGTTTGAGGGTGGGGTCACTGAGAGAGACTACTACAGTACAGGGTTTCTTTTAGGGATAATGGAGAATGTTCTGGAATTGGATAATAGTGATGTTTGCACAAACTTGTGAATTTACTAAAGACCACTGAATTGTATACCTCAAAATGGTGATTGTTATGTTATGTGAAATTGTATTATGTGAGTTATATCTCAATCTGAAAAAGAAAGATAACAGGGAAGGAAGAAGCAGAGCAGGAAAAGTAACGGGAACACTGGTCAAGCCTGGCCAGCAGGGCAGTCTCCTCGTGGAAACAGGGGTCCTCTTGTCATCTGTAGATGAAAGTGTAAGCGTGCATTGATAGGGCCTGCTTCTTCATCCTCAACCAGCCAGACACTTGCCGCTCTCCAGGCCTGCAAACGCATGCACGTGGGAGTGAGAGTCCCCGGAGATGAAGTGCCTATGCCATGCAATGAAAAGGCCATGAAGACCTATGTTGTGCTATTTGGCATGCAAGGAGAGGAAACTTGCTCAGGCAGCTTCAGAGGAAGGGAAATTTGCTCTAAGTCTCCCAGAAGCCACTAGTGAGTCTGCGGCACTATAGGGAGCTACTTTTCTGTTCCTGCTGGCTAAGTGTTTTGACTTCACTTTTCCCGTTTGCTCTTCTCATCCCTTGCTGCTGATCCCAGAGGAAGCAGAGGAGATCAGTTTTGTTCACAGCCAGGCAGCCTGTTCCCATCTAGCCTTGTCCCCCACCCCATCACACTGGCCCAGTCAATGGCCATTTGCATGGCCCTGACCAGAGGCTGTGCTAAGGCCAGGGCAGCTGGACTGCAGTCTCCCACACCAGGACTGACATGGTTAGAGGCGTGTGGAACAGTTACTATAACCGAGCTTTCAGTATTGTACTTTTGGTAAAAATGGATGCATTTGAAGCATCAAGCAAGCTGTGCCAATGACCAGAGATAATATTTGATACACAGTTCTCCACTTTCCACTGGAAACCTTGAAAACAATCTCTACTGCATTATCCCCCAAAATGCATTTCCTCTAAGTCCTAATAATAAATGATTATGTAGCCATGGAAACAGCTATTTTGGGAGAGAGAAAATTGGATCTTAAGAGCGGGTTTATAAAATCAGACTTTGCTTAATGTAACCTGAAGCTCTGCAGCTGAGAGTATAGGTTCTTATGCTTTGCACCAATGTGTTTACGTACATGCTAAGAGCCTCTCTAGGAGTACATCCACTTGAATAATTGCTTTTAGAATATTCTCAAAGGCAGAGAATGTCCTAGATAAAACAAAAGAGCAGTGAGAAAGGTAAAGTGATTTTCTGCTCCGTCTCCTGTTTGCCTTTGCGATCGATCGGGAGTCCTGGCAACTACGTGTAACCTCTCTCTAGTACTGACTTGGAGCTCATGGCTCTCAAGTCCTTGAATCTAAGCTTTCAGGACAATCAGGAAATTATTAGCAAAAATGAAATTTGAACTTCAAAGTTGACTTTTATTTTTTGCAGGTCATTTTAAAATTAGAGAAACTACCATGTATTGTTGAATTCATTAAATATATAATCAACTGTCTGGGTACACATACACGTTCTTCTGAACTCTCGTTTGACCTTTATTTTCTGTTTTATTTTCTCAATCTGTGGAGTTCCTGTTTATGGGCAGTACAGTATACTTTTTTATTCTTATTTTTTATTTTATTTTTTTTAATTTGGTTTTATTGCTTAAAGTGTTACAAAGAGTATTACATATGTCTCCTTGCCCCCTCTTCCCCCCCCCCCCCGCCCACTTGACATTCCCCCGGCCTCCCCTACCCCCCAGTGTCTTATGTCCATTGGTTATGCTTATATGCATGCTGCAGTATACTTCTTATAGATATGAAGAACAAACTTAGTGGCAGGGCACAGTAGGTAGACCAGCTATCTCAGTGTAAGTCAGTCAGCCCCTGGTTATCTGTGTCTCCTATGCTCGTTTGTAAACCCTCTTCCTGGGAAGGAATTTCTAAGAGGGTTTGCTTAGCACCAATGTTTCCATGTGAGCAGGAAACCTGCACTTGTCCTCCTGTGTGTCTCTCCTTTACTCTCCCAGGACTGCCATGCTCATAGCACTCTAACTCCCAATGCGAGGGGGGATTTTTTTCCCCACCATGCAATTCTCTGTGACACCAGTTGGTTGTCCTGCAACTTAACTCAAGTCTGACACTATCTACTGGAGACAAGGTCAGACCCACAGGTTAAGGGCTCAGTCCCATCTGGTTGCCCCACTTCAGAGGCCACTTGCACATAGTAGGTCCCCAGGTTACCCACAGCTTCTGTTCAACTTGGCTACAGATCAGAGGTTCCCATGATCTCCTCCCCTTTGGGTTTGATTAATTGCTAGAACAGCTCACTGAACTCAGGAAAACACTTGCTTATGTCTGCCAGTTTATTAAAGGATACAGATGAACAGCCAGAAGAAGAGATACATAGGGGAGGCCTGAAGATGGGGGGTCTGGAGCCCAGGAACTGGGCTTGCATTAGCCCTCAGGTGCATGTGTGCGTTCACCAACCTGGAAGCTCTCCAAACCCTGTACTGTTGGAATTTTTATGGACACTTTGTCGTGTAAACATGATCCCTCACTACGTCCATTTCCACCCCCCTCTCTCCTACCTGGAGACTGGGGGTGGGCCTGGAATCATGGCTTGGTCCTTTTGGTGACCAGCCCTGGGTGGCTCCAGGAGCCCACCCAAAGTCACCTGACCAGAACAAACAAGACCTCTATTACTCAGGACATTCCAAAGGACTTAAGAGCTCTGTGTCAGGAACTGCAGTCAAAGACCAAACAGTGAAAAAAGATGCTTCTAGTGCTCTTATAACTTTGGAGGTTACAAGGGTTTCAGGAGCTCTGTGCCAGGAGACAGGGGCAGTTAGATATTTTTTTTCTATTATCTCACACTGTGTACGTGGATTATTTAAATCTTTCAGAAAAACTACTCCCTTGAGTGGAAAATCCCAGTGGTTTCCTATGGGACACCTCATTGAATCCTCAGACTTCCTACAGAAGACAGGACCCTGGGACCAGCTGACGCTCTAAGTCCTTGCTCCTCGCACTAGTTTCTGATGCTGTTGCCCATTCACTGCGTATTGTTAGGTTCATTTTGAAGGCTATGAAAATTAGGCCCTTGAACTATACATGGTAAAATAATCCTATCTAATAAGAGAGAAACATGGTAATTAGCCATACAGCCGCTACCCATCCCATTGGCTAATCAGGGCGATATGCAAATTAACTGCCAGCCAAGATGGCGGCTGGCAGCCAGGCAGCTTGAAGCGAACATGAGGCTTGCTTGCTTCAGTGACGGAGGACTCCAATGTTCCC